CCAAATAAGAGCTGTGCGTCTGCCACTGAAAGCCTATGGAAACTGGGTCCTTTGTGGCTTTGAAAGTATTCTCCTAAATTAAAAAAAAAAAAATCCCTAAACTTCAGCCTAATATAAATCAGATATATTGTCAATGAATTCAAAGCACTGCAGCTACGTCGTGTTTTAAGTGAAAACTGAGTAAGTATGGAAACTTAATAATACTAACTGTACATGTCTTAATTTAAAGTTTGTCCGTTACATACTTTTCATTTTTTTAAGCTTCTGGGTTTGTGCTTACAATTCAATTCATTCACAATACAAATTATGTCATTTTAAAAGAGATTACCAGGCAATGTAATCCAACATGAAAAAGCCTCTGATGAATAGAACAAAATGTAAGTGAACAATTACTAAGATCTTAATCATTCATCTGTTGTCACACTTGTGGCAATTTGTTTTTTCAGCTCATCTAATTTGAGTAATGAGAAAAATTATTAACTCAACAATGACTGGCATTCTCTGAATAAATCATTCCTCAGATTTTACTTCCACAAGGAGCTGATCACACTAATAACATATGAGAACAACAACTAACATAGGTTAATTGTAGAAGAATTGTGATAGATGATTAACTTGCCATTCCTGAGGAATTTTACATACTTAAAGCTGTTAGGGCCTTGTTATACATTGCAATTTGAGCTGCTCACAATGTTGATTGGTGTTAACGCTAGGTCAAGTTTGAAGCAGTTACACACTAAGGCTAATAACCTTCTCCCACCATTCCCCACCTGCACTGCTGTGACTTCCCACTAGAGGGCTGGGAGCAGGGGCCTACCTAGGAACTACAGCTGTAAGTTGCCAGGACAGGCTTCTATCCCTGCTCCAGGTGAGGGTGTAAGAGAAATGGGTTGGGAGAGAGGAGGGAGCGTGGGACATGGATCAGGGAGGCAGAGTATTAAATGGGGGGATGGGGGTGGAAAGGAGGTGGGGATGGGAGATAAAGCAAAAAGTAAGAAAGAATTTAAAAAGAAATAAAGAGAAAGTAATATAAGGAACGTCACATGTTTTAATAAATTGGGATTTAGGTCTGGGGGATTCTGGTCATGCTTCCCAGGGTGGCTGTGAAGTGCCAGTGAGGGAAGGCACTTTTGGGGAGCTACTGCCCCTGCCCCAGGAATGAAGACCCAGCCCAATCTGGCCCCCTACCTTGTTCTCCCCCCTTCCCAGCCCCCAACCCCACTCCTGGACCTATGCATGTCCTTGTTCTCCCCCCTTCCCAGCCCCCAACCCTACTCCTGGACCTATGCATGCCCTGTGACCTGGCTAGCTGGCATGTGTTCTGCAGGCTATTTGCACAGGGTTGCACCTCTGGGGGGTGGGATGGTCACACACCCAGAGGCTGGAAGGGGCTTTGGTTTGGTGCCAGAACTGCCCCCTGGGGAGTAGAATCCGGGGTGGAAAGTTTGTCCATGCTGAACAGGGGGAGGAGGGGGGGCACACAGCATCCTGGGATGCTGGAGGACTACAACTTGGGTGGTTCATCCGGGGGGATGGGGAGGAGTGGACAAACATTAATGGAAAATGAGCTAGGTGTCACGACCCAGTGATTTTTGTGCCTCGGCACTATGGAATTTCCTGGCCACATGAGAGCTCCTTTGCACGGCAGAGTGTTCTGCTGCAATTGAGAACCCGCGTGTAGGAGAGAGTTCCCGCCAATTTGCAGTTTCCTTTGCAGGATGCATTTCTTCTTTGCAGCACAGAAATGCACGGTGCAAAGAGTTCCCGCTATTCGAATGTAAATTTGTGCCCCGCTATTGGCCAGTGCTAAATTATTCACACGTGGCGGCTAGTAATTGGCTCGCTGGCCGTTTAAAATTCCGCGCGACTTCTGCCCAAGTCGAAGAGCTTTGAGCACACTGCAGAGTGCCTATCTGACTTGCGGCTGTCGATCGATAGACCTATCGATCTTTCTTCCCGTCACCGAGCGCAACCCTGATGTACCCCTTTCCCCGCCGGCTTCGAATTGCGGACGGATTAACTGGCTTGGGCCCCGCCAGCTGGAACAACTCGCGTGGTTGTTCAGACGACCGGACCACCTGCGTCGTGATTGCAAGCGGCGTGAGTAAAGTTTTTTGCAACCAATAAGTTGTGTCTGCCTCTCCATTCACCAGCCCACCCTAAAGTACGACCAATTTTGAACGCAACTCGAGTTGGCTCTGGCCATCCAAAACACTAGGCAACACTGATCAAAGAGAAACCTGTCCTGTGGCATAACTTCAAGCCACATAAAGTGTGCTTAAAACTAGTTTCAGTTGTTAGTGTGGGCACAATCCAGGGGTTAAGAGCTCTAGGAGCCACCTAAAATTAACTGCAATAAGGCTCTAATTGTTTAACAAAGATAAAGCTGTTTTTCCTATCTCCTTTTACCACTGACCCTTGACACACACTGCTTTTCTTTGAAGGAGATGGTGTAGTAGTGCAAATCAGAGCTAGATGAACCTTATAGGATTTAGCCCACAAAACCTTTTTCTTATTTATTCTTCTAGCCTTAGTAGAATGACATGAAAAAAGAGTAGCTGAATACAGCAGTAAGGCAAAAAGATTTGGAGGAGCACAGAGGGGGGTGAGTAAGAGGAAATGAGAGCAGACCTGAAAGGCATTACTGTTTTGTGGTTAGTGTTCAATACATTCTAACTGTGGATGGGAACATTTTCGAGGAGATGAGGATTAGTCCTTGGGCCTGTAGGTAAGAAATGGGTATTTGCTTAGCTATGAACGAAAGGAAGATGGGGTTCCACAGCATGCAGCGCTCAAGACAACTTCAGAGTTGTTTGAACTTTACTAAACCAGGTACAGGAGGATCCAAAGGCATAAAACCTTAAAAAAAACCTCAAAGCAGATCAATGAGAATATTTAACATACTCTGCTCATAGCCATATTAACTGGAACTGGTCAAAAGTTTTCTGAAGAGTTTCATTGGAAAAATGTCAATTTGTAGAATCCAAAATATTACACGGAAAATCTTAGGCTCAGCGTTCATCAAATCAATGACAATTTCACTGGAACCAGTTCCACTGTTTTGTGGCAGACATTAAGTGTCCCAACTGCAATGCAGGTTTGCAATGAAGACTGCCCCACAGCCAGGTGCCCCAAAAGTTTTAGGTATGAGGCCATTCCATCCCAATGCTGCTGAAGCCCCAATGGTAACCCACAAAGTCTGGAAGTCCTGAGAACTGCAAACCAAGGAAGGATGCTCAGGACTTCCAGAGTCCTATGCTGATGTCAGGAAGCCTGGAAGTATTATGGTGGGTTTCTGGGAGGAGCCAGCTGCCTTGGGAATTCCCAGCCCAGAGAGAAGCATATTGTAAGGTCCAGTCAGTTTTAATCTGACTTCTATGCAAGTGCCTCAATACTCTGAAGGTACTAAGACCTATATATCAGGGCTGTCCAACTGGCAGCCTGGGGGCCACATGAAGCTTACACAGGTTTCTGCCCAGCCACGACTCCCCCTATCACTCTGGCAGCAAGAGCAGCCAGAATCTCTGGGATTTCCCTCCAACTTTTGTATTCTGCACCTGCCCCAGGGGATGGTACAACACAGCAAGCAGCACTCGGGCTGAAGCTGGGACTATGCTGTGTGCAGCGCAGCAGTAGGGAATGGAGAGTGGGGAAGGGGGAAGTGTCCACGTGGCTTCACTGCAACAGTTGTGGGGGAGGAAGAAAGGAGAGAAGGATGTGCCCACACAGGCATGAGCTGCAGCAGGGTGAGGGGTGTGAGCATACAGTGCAACAGGTGGGCATCTAAGCAGCATGCAGCCCCTGACCACTTAGAATTTGGACAGTCCTGACCTAGATAATACTTCTCTCTCGTGCCTCCACCCCCTACCCCTTCCTAGTGGCTTTGGAGGAAAAAGGAACCAGCTTTGCAGGAAGGAATGAGCCACATACTCCAGGTGACAGGAGCAACTACCAAAGCAGCCAAAAAGACATTCAGTCATTTGGATAACCTGCTATAGTTCCAACTAGACACTCTCCTCTGGGACGATCATTCGTTTCAACCATTTCCCTCTCCTCCCTTTAGAGTCTCTTCTTTTCAGCTTCTCTCCACACCTGCCACCTTAGCCTCTTCTTCCCCATCCTGTCCCTGTCACTTCCCTTTAAACATCCCTCCAACCTCAAAAAACAACCATGGTGGACTGACTTGCATACTTCCCACCATTTTCTTCACTCTGGGTGAGTCTACACATGCCCATACAGCGCCATTGTTACTGCACCATCATTTAGTGCTTCCTTTTGGAGCACAGGCTGCACTATGCCATGCATGGTTATTTTTAGCTGCTACATTGCCATAGCAGTGCACTATACTGAGGGAGCATTTGCTATGGCAATGTCGCTGCAGCCTCATGGTTTTTGCCTTGCAATGCTACACTGTTGTAGCACATCGCTAGTGACATTGCATCACATGTAGATAGGCCCTGTGTATGTGTATTATCCATTCCTTTTGACATTTGAGGCAGAAACTGCATACTACTGCACAGAGGCACAGAATCTATCATAATGGGGGTATCTTGTTTGATCTTTGGCTGCAAAGATAGGCTTTTGCCAATTAACAAAGTATTTATGCTATTACAATGTTTAAATTATTAAAACCAGAATCACATTAATAATTTTAAAATATATTCTGGAAATGTTAACTTCAGAGTGAAATTTCTCACATGTACTTACTGCATGGATGTGAACAGTTTTTCAAAACTAAGAGGTCTTGCAGGTTCCTCTCTTTCAGCTCAAGTGGTAATAGCCTGTTTACATGTGCACATTCCAATACTATGTATATATAGTTATATGAACTCTTAGAATTATATATAAAAAGTGCTAATGACATACACTACTAGAATTTTTATACTATATGCACACACACTAATATATAATCACACAAAAGGAAGGATTCAGCATGGATAAATGAAATCAAGCAAGCAAGAGAATGATTTAATCATATAACAATAGAGCTAAATACTCACCTAACTCAATATCTCGTATTCCCATATACATTTCAAGAAGGTCATCAACTTTCTTTATTGCTTTTTCTTCAACATCAGAGGGCTTTATTAAAGGAAAAAGATAAGAATGAATCTTCTAAACCCAAAATGAAATGCTGTGGTTACAAAGGCACTCAAATCAATAAAAGTTTTATAGTTAGGATAACTGACTTATCCCTAGCCGACTAATATATATTAAGTAAATCTATCTTACTATTTTGGTCTTTAGTTAAGATTTAAGAAGAAAACCAAGGGTGAACCTGTAGCAAGACAAAGTCAGAGTTAACAAGAAAAAATTGGCTTTCTTGGTGACACCCTGTGCAAGTAGGGCAGAATACATAAATCTGAATTCTCTCCAGCTGACATGCATGTGAGTACTTGAACATTTAATGTCATGTATGTCAATTTAATGAAATGCATGGCACTCTCCATTTTTTGGCTAATTGCATTCCATCTTGCTTGTGCATGATGCATGTGGCAGGGAGGGAATGGTGTGTTGTGTCTTTCATTTTACTGACAATGCCTCATGGGTAAGTCATCATTCACCATTTTGAGTTATCAGCAAAAAGCTATAACTGAAAGTGATGAAGGTTAATGCAGAGAGAGGTGTTTCCTTGGTCAAAGATAGTTTAATATGCTAATACAGCTCCACAAAAGGAAGCTAATAAATCTGTTACTGAAACTTCTATTATTTGTATTGCAAATAACGCTTAGAAGGTCTAATCATGGAGCATTGTGCTAGGCACTGTACAAACACAGAATAATGTACATTCTGTGGGATCTAAAGAGTCAGTTATTTGTAAATTATGTGTACGCATTGGTGTTATCAACTCCTGCATTCAAAGAAAAAGAAAATCCACAAACCAAAGCCTGGGGGGAAGAGAGGGGATTGGTTTTAAAAATCACAAGCTTTTTAAAATATATATATTTGGAATCTTTTAAATTTGTCTTCTGATATTTGAGCTTTTAGATTTGTTATTTATTATCTCTGCATCCACAAGACCATATGATATTTAACAAAATATGAAACATTTTTCATTAAAATTCTGTTTTATCACTTCTGTAGAATGGCAAGTCTGATACTTTGCAGTCGTATATGGTCCTAAAAGTTTCAAATACTATATTCTGCCTATATAACATACCATTTCCTCCAGAGTGGCGGGGCCTTTAGATCTCAGTCGAAGTGTTTCTCTTCCCCTTGAGATTTTAGTCTCTGATAGATTTCCACCTTTAAGCCTTGGTTCAATCATTTCTATAAACAAAAGTAGAATTGTTAAATACACAGTTTAGTTACAATTAAATCAATATGCTTTCATTGACTATTTCATCTAGATCAGAATTTAGGTCTAAATTAAAATCTAGATTGACCCAAAAATGAAGTGCAATTTACAGTGCAGCAATCAGACACTGAAAGGCTCTGGCATGGACCACAAACCTTTTAAAATACTATTACCATATAATAAAATTGAGACTTACATGGACAAATGCATAGATGTACACTTGGTGCATGCCGTTATGAAATCAATAGGAGTTTTGACATGGACTTCAGTGGAGTCAAGATTTTACATTTATCACTAGTGACACTGTCCATTAGTTACACGATTAGTATTGGGTCTTCTTGTCTAACCTGGAGAAAGTTTTGAGCTTCATTCTGATAGGTAAGAGTCTCAGACCTAAAATTTGGCATTGCTGTCCCTGGGACAGATTTTTACAGGTAAAGTTTACAACGCTATTCCAATTTCTCGATTCATTTTCAGCTGAGCTGGCCTTAATCTGTGTGGGGTTGCAGAGCCAATATGGGAAACTATTTCTGTAAAAATTTGTTACTCTATACCAGTGGTTCTCAACCCACAGCCTGATTGGTAGCATGCAGCCCAATCTACAGACTGCTGCGGCCCATGTGACATCCTGTTCAAGCATTTTTTAAATGCCTACACTCGTAAATTGTGCGAGTGCAGCCCACAACACATTGAGAGCTGCAAGTGTGGCCCACTATGGCAAATAGGTTGAGAACCATTGTTCTATACCCTGTCTACTAGTCATCTTCTTGGTACTGATGAGAGCTAACAGTGAGAAGAATCCCAAAAGCCCAGAGCCTACTAAACCATGGTTCATTATCAGTGTCTGTTTTGTCTTAGGCTATATTCCCAGTTCACAATGAGCCTGTTTTATATGGTTCATTAACAGCAATTTGCAATCTGGCCATGTGCTATCAACAGCAGAATGAGAGCCCGAGTTAGTTTGTATACCTTATGACTGTCCTGTAGTCAGCTATTGCTTGTGGACTGGCACTGTTTTCAATGTGAAGGCAATTTTTTTGTTTAAATTTTGAAAGGACTAAATTGTAAGAAAATGGGTATGACAAACTTTAACTCCAGATTAATGAGTTATTTGGAGGACATCTATATACTTATACAGATACACATGCAAAATGTGCTTGCGTATGTAAATAATATCACAAGTTCTGCGTGCCTTAATACAGAGGTGCTCAACTTCTGGCCTGCAAAACAGTGTTAACTGGCCCATAGGTTTGGAAATTTGACAGATAGAAAGCAGTGGCAGCATTAATTGTTGCTCCCCTGCTAGCGAATTTCCAGCCCCATGGGGAGCCCAATGGGCTGGATGATGTGACCCTGTGCAATAAATCAGACTTCAGCACAGGCTAACCACCTGAGTATTTACTCTGCTTCTTGAGCAGGTTTTTCAGCCTAGCTGAGCTCCATGCTGAGATCATTACCAGTACCTAAATGCTCTGAAGAAAATTTTTATTCTTGATCTAATGCAATTTCTAGGTAACAGTTATTGCTAGGAAAGCGTTCCTTCAGCTATTACCATGTTGATACCTTCTTTCAAAATAAATGACTTCAGTATATGGATAAGCAAATAAAAATATAAGACTGGGGTTGTCAAGCATGGATATGCGTACCCCAGGGGTACTTGGAAAGGTGCTAGGGGGTACATGCAGGAAGGGATGGGCCACTGCCATCCACCATCCCGCGCCGCCACCACTGTGTGCCGGTCACCCCTGCTCTGTGTCTGGCTGCTGCCACCAGAAGGGGTACACTTCTTTAAAAGGGCTGAAAACCCCTGAATTAAGACATAGTAAAACAAAAACATTTGGTTCACAGCTAGAAAGTAATCTAATATGTATTGTATTGTCTTTAGAGGATTTTAATAGTCTGGTATTTAATAAACTGTACTGAACACATTCTTTCAATTGTGAGGTTTATGCTGCCACCCTTTTATTCCTGCTTTTCATCCATATTATACAAGTAGCAAAAGCATAACAATAACCTGGCCATGAATTTAAAAAAATAAATAGTGCATTTGTATATTCTTTTGAAAACCGATTTATAAAAGTAGTGACCAGTCTTCCTAAAGGACTGCATTATTTATTTTACAATTATTACCTATAACTTTTATAAGGCAACACAGTGGAAAACAGGTTTATCTTTTTAGAAGTTGTAAAACATTTTTTTAAAATAATCAAACTATGAAAGCCATTGTCACAGAGTCATAGTACTCAAAACTGTGTACTATAAAGATACAATCTCAGGTTTTTTAAATGGACCATAACCTTTCCAGGGGTTACCCCTCAAAATAATTCCTTCTCTGTAAGATTCTCTTAGTAAACTATCTTTTAAAGATAGGTCTTTAGTATTTTATATGTGTTTTGTTCAGCTGGGTTACAACTAGTTGCAGCTGCTTTAGAAGTCAAAATACTGAGACAATTTGAGGAAGGCTTTCTTTTTTTGCTCAGATTTAAAATTCACTTTTGGAATACTGTATTTTAAAATAAATTTCCTCATATTAATACAACCTTACCACAGTCTACTACTACTCTCATATATATCCAGCATCACTGTATTTTCCATAACCCTATGGATATTGTTGGATTCATGGTCTAGCTATAAAGGAATAATTTCATCCTCATTGAGAATTCAAGTTCTTAATCATAATACTCATTCTCAACATACACACCAGCTCTATAGCAGTAATTGTTTATTTATGACCGACATAGGCTCTTTGTTGGGGATTTGCAATAGGCACCCAACAACATGGCCAAACTGCCTGCAAGAATTATCTTGGCCAGAACAGGCCTTATTATTTCAACCATGATTCAAATTAAAAATTTGTGCCACGCTTTCTTCAACTAGCTTTATGGATGCTGCTTCATTTCAAAGAGGGCCAGCGTGTGATGATATGCTCAAAGAGGAGAGTAATAACCCCATCCTTACTCAGGCAAAGCTTTGTGTCCATAGTTCTATACACTGATCAGAGCAGATGACTTGGTATGCACTGGGGGAGGAGAGGAAAGGCCTATTCCAATGAGTAAATCATTACTCTTCTATGATGTCCAGGGAACAAAGAAGAAGCAGGTGAACAACTGTGAATCCGCAATTTGTCTCTTAGTCAAAATGCCTCCCGGAGCTACCCTGGGAGAGCTGCAGTTTAAACACCCGCTTGCTTGACGGCCTTATGTTCCAGTTTAACTTGAAAATATGTCTGGATTCTTACCTTTGAGGCAGCAGACTATTCTGACTTACTTTTAATAAAACAAAACAAAACAAAAACAAAAAAAAACCCCCAACATCTGTATACAGCATGAAGAACAAAGTAATAATGAGCTGTAGTAAAAATTTAATCCTTTTAGGTTTACGATTGCCAAAAAACCTCCATAAACCAGTTTCCCCATAACAACTTAACACAACAAATTTTCTAATAGAACTTTATTTTAAAAATTGTGGAGAGGGAGGAGGGACGGTAATCTACTAAAAGCGTCATAAAGTACCTTAGTGTATCCTGGAATATTTTTTTTTAATCTTATTGAAATAATTTGAACATCAAACACAATGAGTAAGAAGCCTATTGTTTCCATCTTCCCAAATACACATTATACAGGGCTCAGCATCACTCAGATTCATATGTATGCACATAGATGTACCACACACGGATACACATGCCAGAAGCAGCACTTCACCCACATCCCTCATTTTAGCCTGCAGCAGCCAACATAAAATGCCTTCCAGTTTCTCTCATCCTTTCTAATTACTGCACTTATTCTGACACCAAGTGTTCACAGTGAGGTACTACAGGTCTTCCCAAACTGATTGCAGATTGCAATGATTTGGAAAATAAACTTTTCAACTTGCTGATGAAATGAGGCAGAGGAAGGGAATTTTCTAGAGTTTCAGGGTATGCATGTATCAGTTCTAATACTGATCTTAAATACCAGATGCTGAATTATTTACTGTTACAGAAAAATAATTCATAGGAAAGAATAACTTTTTTAATAATTCTGGTTTTTATTCCTATTTTGAAATTTTAGCTTAAACAAAGGACTTGCATTTCAATCCCATTTAAAAAAAAAAAGTAACACGCAAATGATTAGCGACACGAATGATTCTTTTCTATATAAAGACCCAAAATGGATCACTCTGCCACATGTTTTTTTTCAGCTGTCTGCTGAGGGGCAAGAGATTTTTATGCAGGGAGAAGTAGCTAGGGATGGAGGGAAATGAACTGATGCAGTATGGAATCTCAGTCTCTGTTAGCATTTTTAATTAAATATTTACATTACGAAACCCTACCAGTTGGGAAAGCGTTGACAGCACAGACTAAACGGATTGTATTGGCAGGGGTTTGAGGAAGAGGGGACCCTACTGAGCATACAAATCATGCATCACAGGGCCTCCATGCTCCCTGTGAATGCGGTCTGTGAAACAAATCTATACCGATTCTGCCAGCACCTG